TGCTCAACTGTCGAAAGACTTCTCCTAGCTTCAGACCTGAGCACACCAAGGGATATAGCATAATGAAAGGATATAAAAAATGGCTGTTCCTGATCAGCCTAGAGCTCCTTCTAGCCAAGCAATCTGTCTCTGCTGCAGCCGGGGGCAGGTGCCTCTTCCTCAGGAGCACTTGAGCAAAACAAAGAAAAGCTGATGTTTCCTTGGTGTATTCTCCGCTTTCTTTTTCCCTCTGGAGAAAGACACTGGCTTGGGTAGAGACATCCTACAGACCAGATCCAGCCTGTGGTCCAATATTGGGCACAAAATTAATCACTGTGGAGGAAACGGTCCTTCTCAGACAATAATATTCAGCCTTTCCTTTCCCAGAGGCCAAATGGTGATTCTCTTGCTGACTCTGAGTCTATCTTATTTCTAGCAGAGTGCCACTGAGGTCACTAGCAAGTCATATAGGTAAGGGAACCTTAGAAGTAAATTTTGAACTTTGAAGTTCAGGTTTTATTGCACTCAGTGTGTTGTAGCCTCTCATCTTTTTAAACAGGGTCTCACATTTTATGCCACACTGTGAGGCTAATTATCCTGAATTTATTTGCACAGCCCTGCATCTGCCATCTATTATTCCTGAAATAAAAAATGATCTAAATTCTTTTCTATCTGGCTGCACTACCTAATTATTCCTCATTTGTTTTTATTCTCTTCCAATTTAGTATCATCTGCAAAGTTGGAAATCATGTTTTCATATCGTAATTAGACCTCTAAGAACCTAAGAAAACTGCTTGGTGAATAAGCATGTGAAGGGCTCATTTCCCCCCTCTCTTCCCCCGCCCCCCCCGCTCTCATTTTAATGGAGATTTAAAATGAAACAATAAAACAGAAATACATAAAATTATGAGCTAAAGCATTCAAGTTGTTTGCCTGTGGGCCATAATGTTGCAGCAACCAGAAGCAATATGAAATAGTTATGATAAGAAAGTTGGTTAGGAATGACTGATAAGGATGTAGAAGCTCAGCTAATGTGTGTCCAGCTCCTTGCAAACTATGCTGTATTAGAAGATTTACTTATTTAGACAGTTCATGTGCCTTGCTTGTGTCAGGACTGTAAAAGTTCCCTTCCTTTTCTGTCTTATCTACATGTAGGTAATGTGCAGAGAGGGGATGATTTGCAGCTGTGACTTTGATGCAGACAAAATTTTCTACTTTGAGCAAGTTAATCTCTACCCCCAGCATTAAAGATTATGCCACCTTTAAAGTATGGCTTGTGCACACCTTTAAAATATGGGTTATAATATTTCCTATACCTCACAGATACACATTTCACACTTGAATAAGAGAAGATTTTAGCATACTTAAGAGTATGACAAGAAGAGGGCTCCACTGACTATGTTACTTAGCATACTGCAGCAGAAATCAACCAGTTTGACATTTTCTAAGACTAACAAGGCAGAGCAACTCAGGGGCCTTCGCTTCAATCATATGTATATCTGTCAGTCTCTGTCTTAAGTAGAATGAGCACCATGTACTGTCAGTCTCTTTTTGCCTCCCTTTGACTCAAATGGTAGCAGTTGAATGCATTGTTTCAAGATGTTACAAAGCTGTAGACAATTCAAACCACTACATATTTTCTCAAATGTGTAGAAGACGAATGAGGAAACAACTGTCCCATAAACAAACAAACGGCAAAAAAAGCGCAGCAAAATACACAGAAGATCTCTTTCCTCTGTACGTATTTCAGTCCATGTTCTTGTGAATAAGATTAATGTTGGGATCTGCAGCCCTGTCAGAAGAGGAGCAAATCTGATGGACCAACCTCAGGATCAGCTCCTTCATTTCCAGGTGGAGGAGATGATGTTCTACTTCTTACACTATAGAGGCATGTAACCATCCTCAAGGAATCACAGGGTGCTCCTTGCATCAGTTCAGACAGATGCAGACTTTGCATTTGTGTCAGTAAGTACATATTGGTCACAATACCCTCCTCTTTATAATTCAGACAGTGCTGAGAACAAGGCACCTGCATTAAATTGACCCCTCATGCTGGTCCATGCCTTGGCTTTATTGTGAGAAATCATTAAACTTGGGGACAGCCCATGGGAAGTCAGCTACACCTTGATCTTGGCTTCTTTGTTGCTTTTGAGAAACCAGACATGAAGAATGAAGCTCATTTTCCAAAGAAACTGCCATGGACAGCAGGTGCAACAATGTTAGGAATGAGGCTGGGCAGGCCATCACATTTGTGGAATCCATCTGATGATCTGAGCCTCTCTGGGCCTGATTCTGACTTCCCTAATATTGTCAGTGATGAACAGCCCCTTCAAATTCAGAATAGTGCACTAGGGTCAAGACTGTCATATAGCAGAGATCAGAATCACATGAAGTGTGCCAGGAGGAATAGATTTCTTAATTGCAGCCTGGGTTTTTTTGCCCCCACTTTGTAGGCACATTTGATTACAGGTGCAACTTAAGTCATTTATATGTCTCCCTGACTGACAGATATATTGGTTAATGTCCTACCTGCAAAATTATGCCCACAGGTATGTGCAGCTGTTGTTCTGAGCAAGCAGAAGGAATGCACAGGTACAATACTTTGGCAAATTTTTCTCTTCTCTGTAGGAGAAACACATTTTTAATCCAATTGATCCTAATAGGATAGGATATTTAAATGCAGTTATTTTAATAACTGTATTTATCATCTCTGCTACACCAACTGTAACTATCATCTCTGAAGGGCAAGGTTAAGGACATTTGGGTAATGTAACTTCATATTTTTTCTTAAATCTATCAGACATTACTCTTAATTGTAGCTTCAAATATAAATATACGAAGTTTGCAGGAGCTTGGATTTAGATGGCATTCCTGCGAAACCTATGATGTTGCTAGGTGATTGAGTCATTTATCTTGGAAAGTAAAACTGTTCATGAAATGGTTGCAATGAACATTTTAAAATCCGACTCTGTTTCTACTGAGATCACCCTGGATATGGATTAAAGTGTTCTTTGGGTGCATGGTTAGTCTCTTAAAGCTGACAGAGACTTTCTATTCCTTCATGAGATGAGTCAAAGATTTTGAAGGGAGTTAATTAATTTTAAAATGCAGATTTTAAGAAAATGCTAAATGCTCTTTGCCATCAACATGCATCTCTTTGGGTTTGGTTGGTTGGGTTTTGTTGTTTTGGGATTTTTTGTTAATTCTGGAACTTTTTTCAAGCATGTCCAGTTTTTCCTTAAATATTAAGAATAGCTTACAATGAAACATCCAGCAACATGGATGTTATTCATGCACCATTAAAATGACAAGGCAACTCTAAGGGTTAAAGAATTGGTGTGCAAAAGAAAAGCAAGAGGGACAAAGAAACTTCAAAATACCATCTGAATTATATAATTTTAAAGCTTGGAAACAGGAGCTGTGATTCTTATGGTGAGAGACCACATCTGAATAAAGGATTGTCAGCAGAGTTCTCTGTTTTTATTTCTGCCATTATTATTCTACAGCCTATTGCCTTTCCAGTTTACTGCAGCCCGTACTTGCAGGTGCTTGTAAGACAACACTGAAATGTGGAGGAGGCAAGCACCAATGTACCCAATGCCATTTTTAAAAGAATCAGCACATCATTACCTCCCTGCTGTTCATGCTCCATAAACTTCTTGTAAAAATCGACTTTCAGATAGTAAAAACCTGAGTTCAAAAAAGAAAGCTTTAGACAAGATCCCTCCTTAAATCCAGTATGCCCTAACCATGAAAATCTAATGCTGGCTTGGCTCAACTGAGTCCTTAATGTCTGTCTCATTTCCCCCCATTCCGTATCTCACTGAGCCAAAGCAACTGGGTGAAGCCCTTAGTCCCTGTGAGTGATGTGGCTCCTGTGCCATGGCTGGGGTGCTTGCAGTGCAGGCCATAATCCCTTTGAACTCACAGAGGAGCTGAGCATCTATGGGCTTTTGTGCCCCTGCTTCCTTATCACGATCAGTACAGATATGCTGTTGTGCGGTATCTGGTGAAAAGGTAGCACAAAGATAATTTATGTAGCAATTGTTGGTCCAAAAATTCCAGCCACCTCTTTGCCTGCATTCCTCTAGACCCCTCTATCCAGCACTATCAAAAATGGAAAGTGCCGTAGGGAGCCCTGAATCTCTACCTTTGTACAGATTTTATCTGCAAACAGCATTTCAAAGTAATCAAGTGGGAATTACACCAAATTCCCACATTACGGCTGGATTCAGTGGAGAGGTCTGTGGAGTAGTTTTGAAGAAATCAGTGTGGTTTGGGGCTCTTTGCGATGAAAGTTCCTTTAGATTTCATGGCTTTGTCACGCTTGAGATCATGCGCTGATCAGCCATAAAACTATCCTTTATTTGAAACTAGATGTGGAGAAGTTTAAACTGTTCTGTGTGTATTCAGACATAAGTAGCTCATCTTTGGCAGTGCTCAGATTATTTATACTGCAGCTGCAGTGAATTTGAGTTGCACCAAATGTAGTTCTCTAAATGTCAGCTTGATTTTCTCAAGACCTACTTTTCACTTGCTACAAATATTACTTGTTACAGATGCTAAAACTCTTTGAAAGAGGAATGTCACTTTGGGTGCAGTCACAGCATTCAGAAGTAATATGGATCATGAAAGGCTATTTATTTGGTTTTGTCTAAAAAATTAACAAAGTGAACTTTGTATGAATTTAAGGATTTGGACATTCTGGGAATTCACCTCTATAGTTAGGTATACACGATTTTCCCACTTCTGATGAGTGCAGTTACTGCTAATGTAAAAGTTTAGTACATATGTATGGAAGCAAGTCCAACATGACCATCTTTTCTAAAACTGTATTAATGCAACCAAGTCCAGAAAATGTTCATTTAAAAGCTGACAAAACCAAAAAAATAATAAAATAATAAAATAATCAGATGTCAATTTATATAGATTATGTTAAGTTTTTAGTATCTCCAAAAGTTGACTTCTTTTATTTTTTATATCCCTGACAAAAGTAAAAAGATAATTCACTGTTTATAATATAAGACCTTCAGGTGCTGTGAGGGAATTAGATGGCCCATAATTCACAGCTTAAAAGTGAAAAGGAAAGTCCTGCATTCTTTTCAGTAATTCAGAAAATGCTGAGCTCAGGCTAAATTCAAATTTTTATTCATTGCAACAAATTAGAAGTTCATCACATAAGAGCTGTATTACAATAATATTAACTGTAATCTTGATTGAAAGGAGGGAAAAATTTCTGGTTTTACATTCAAGTGAAAAAAAAACAGAAATGAGGAGAATTTGTGTGCACCTGGGACAGACAGGAGACATTGGAAGAAAAATGAATTATCAGAGAAGACAATTTTTAGTAGACAGTTAACTCTTCAAAGGGTGTTCTGTCTTCAGTCATGCAATTACAGTCAAATATTTTTGCTTGGATCAGGTGAAAAAATACTCTGTTTTCTTAGCTATTGAGTTTTGACAGTCCCCATCGTCTTATTACTGTGGACATTAATTCCACTATGGGGCAGTGGCAGTGTGACAGATCTTGCCCTTCTGCAGCTCTGACTGTCAGATTACACTGATCCGAGTTACTGTTTGCTACTATTTTCTTTTCTGAGCAGTCACCTTTAATTACTCAAAGTCTCAGCCTCACTTCATTGTAAATCAAGCAGGTAAGTTTCTAGAGTGAGAAGAGTTATTTTTCATAGGTTGCCTTGTTTGTCTAAACCAGGGACTGTTTGAATGGGAATGTATAATGGGAAGAAATGTCACTTTGGGCAAAGGTGTGGCAGAAATAGACTTACCTACATGTATTTTTTTTCTGCTTCACATATTCATCTCTGACATGCTTCCAAACCATTTAGTTACTGTAAGACTCTAATTTTTATTGATCTCACAGATCACTCATTGAAATTTTCACCAGTTACATCAGCACATACCGTTTTATTGCTGCAGTTTTATTATAATGTCAGTTACGCTTCATTACTTGTCAAAAACAATTCAAGTGAGACAAGAAATATTATAACTTAACAAAATTATTGCCAGTGAAGTTCTTTTGAAAGAATATTAAGAGGAGGAATATAATGCAGGTGCTATGAATCCATTTCTCGAGGAACACTTATTTTCCCATTATGCAAAAAGGGAGCCTTGGAGCTGTGATTCCCTTGGGTTTGTGACTCTAGAGAAGTCACTGGTGGCAGCCTCCAGGACTTCCTGGAGGGATGATGCAGAGGAAAGTGATTGATGAGGCTATGAAATACCCTCAGGCATGTGCTAGGGGCCAAATATAGTCTGGGGTGAATTTGTAGTTACTGATACCGTTAGCAAAGGTATCTGTACAAATTAAAGTAAAAATTGTTCTTCGATTTAGGTTCAAAGACAGAAAATAATTAATTCATTTTGATTTTTAGCAGATGATTTGGTTTATTTTATGAGACTCTGAGAAGCTTGTAATGGTTTCAGCAGTACCAGCCCTTTTACCTGTGCAGAGCTTAGATACAGGAAAACTAGAAATAGATGGGAAGAATATATATGGGGTAGAAAGGAGAGAGAAGAAGAAATCAATCCAGCTAGAATATTAAAAAAAAAACAAACAAAAAAAAAAAAACCAAACCCTCACGTTCTGCTGAAGGAACAAGTAAAAGGACTTTGAATGTTTGGGTTAGCTGGGGGACATAATCTGAATTAGATCCACTTGAAAGGGCGAAAAAGCATCACTGCTCTACGCAGTAATGCCGTAAGTCCTCAGCTTTTGTGGTTGTTTTCATTAAAGCAGCATCTTTCTTTCAAAAAGGAATGTTTACATTTCAGTTTTAGCTTCCAGATTGAGCTCACAATTCACATTTTTTGAGAACAAGTTCCCTTGCAGTGAAGTCCAGTTTAATTTGCATCTTGAGTTTGCCATGTATACGCAATTTCTTAAGCATATTTTTCATCTCTGGTATTCTCTTATTAGACTCAGGATATTATGACATTTTCAAAATGCTTCCTATTTATAACTTAACATTATACAATGTCAAGAATAATCAAAAGCATAAAGAGATGACAGAAAAATCCCATTTATATGATCTTTCCAGGTCACAGTTCTGGGTTTCACTTATAATGCCTGTTTTAAGAGCTAAAATTGCCTTTTTAGCAAATGAAAAATGCAAATAAAAGCTGCCAGGAAATGGACATGAACACTCTATAACTTTCTTAGCACAGTTTGTCAAAGTTCAGAGATCTGTGGTTTCATCAGAGATGTTTCCTGACCAATAGCCATCCCTAAGTGTTACTGACTTTTTCAGTGTATGAGGAAATAGCCCAAGCTGACAGTTTCTGTTAGGCACTATTTTCTCTCATTATTTTGTCATTTAGTCTTCATTTTTTTCCCCCAGAGAACAAAGTACAGCTGTAGTTTTGGTATTTCTTTACTCAGTGTGCCTTTGTTTAAACGGCGCACTTGAAAGATTTGGAAGTACTAACTTAATAAATCTAGGTAATTCCTATCATTTTGAGACAACTTCATGACAGGCAAAATTTGATTCAATATTTCTACCATTTACATATATATATATATATATACATCCTCTTAAAATATATCCTATTTTTATTTCCATCAGCTGAATGCTTTATTGTCTTTAGTTTTAGCATTAGGGCTTCATTAAGATTCAGCCTCTCAACTTTTCGCATAAAGCTAAGCTACTTGGCATATAAATGCTGAATCAGATGATGGGAGTGCTTGTTTGCACTCCGAGTTTGTTTTACTATTTGAATCTTTCATTGTGCTGATACAATGAAAGCAGTGTGTGTTGAAAAACTATTAGGGCCTTAGGACAAAACTTCTCTGGGGTTTTGCAGGGCAGTGAAAGGAGGAGAGTTACCATCTCTGTCTTACTGACCATGGAACTGATGGTGCACCTGGCTAGGGAGAGGAGAAAGAGACCTCTAAATCTTATTGCAAGTTGCAGCATAAGATGCCAAGAACCTTGAAACTTTCCTCGTTCCTCCACTTCTTTTGAAATACAGACCTTGTGCAATATGTTCTTGCAGGACCTACAAATTTCAACTACCCCTGTGCATCCAGCAGCTCTGCCCTGCTCCTTTCCCCTGTCCTTTCACCTGCTACAGCACTGGGATCATGCAAACAGCACTACCCTGGCTATGGTGAAGGGATCAGTGGATGAGCAGAAGAGAATTTCAGAGCTATAGCAAGGCCACAAAAGACAGAACAGGTCGAGGCATGGCTTATGATAGTAAGGTATATGTGATGGGAAGGCACAAGAACAGTAAGGTAAGGCACACATCAGTGGTGTCAGCACCTACTAAGTTTGGTGCCCTTTGGTACGTTAGGGATTTTGATACACTACATTAATATGTTGCCTGACAATGCAGGTATGAATATACCTGCATGTATTTCATTATCTGTTCCAGGTGCTGAAAAATTTCATGTCTCTGGATGATCAAAAGCATACAGTGCTACGTGTAAAAGAAGTAAGTAAGTGTTATTTATAACTTATAGACATTTAAGCTTTGGTCATGGCAGAATCTGTTGACTTGAAGTTATAGGATTCCTAACAATGTAAAAGAAAGATTGTGTGATTCATAAGGGTATGCACAACACTAAGCAGTGAGCCATCTGAGGTAGCAGTAGCAAAGCCCTAAGGACTTACTCATGTTTTAAATCCCCACCCTTTCAGAGGCTTAGGTTCTTAACTGTGCATTTCTCTCCACGCATGATTTATGGCTATGAAAGTAGGCACTTAATCCTCTTCTTCACAGAAAAACAGATAGAACAAGAATCAATATTTTCTTTTGAAAGGGAACCAGAGGAGAAGTAGGTGGTGATTCCTCTCACCTCCTCCTCAGCTCCCTTTCAAGAGGACATCTCATTTCATTCCTTTTTTCTGCTAGTACAAGCTCAGTCTGACCTGGAAAGTTCCTCAGTATACAGGCTGCTGGGGAGGATAAGCACTTTCAAACTCTGCCCCAGAAGATACGGCAGATTGTATATATACAATTACACTGTATACATGGGTTTCATTTATAGAAGTTTTAAAGATTCACTGAGATAGGGAGTAGGAGTAAGATTAAGCCTGATTTTGCAGTGTGGTGGTTAGGCTACTTCCATGGGTATGGAAGACTCTAGTCTGTGCTTCAAGGACAATTTAATTATTTTATATTACATAGGCATTGGAAAATGTATGACAACTGTTATTGAAGCAGAGACTGATATTAAGGAATCTCCTTTCAGAAACAGTTCTCCCAGCCAGCTACGGTACAGAGGAAAGCTTGCTTCATTATTGCTGTCCCAAGAAATGCAAAAAAGCTCCAAATTACCTAAATTACATAACAACAACAAAAAAATATAATGCAAACTTCTGCATTATGCATTTCCTCTAGAAAATTTTAGAAATTGATCAAAATAATTTACATAATTCCCTCATTGTGAAAAAGCTTTTAAGAGCCAATTAAGAAAAGCAAGTGGGGAGAACTGCAAGCTTGAAATAGAGAAGCAATAAAGTGAAATTCTTTACTATGGAAGAAGGTGAGGATGAGAGTACATGAAAGGGAATTGTACTGTAGTTGAAAGGCACAATAGCAGTAAAAGGCACACAAGGAAGGTGGTAGTATGAACTGATGAGGGGTGCAAGTAGGACCAGTGCAAACTGATTCACTGAAAAGTGGAAAGAACAAGTTTGCATTGCAGCAGTCTTAAACATGGACTTGCTACTACTCAGATAATGATCTAACTGTGGAGAAAACCATGTAAAGATAGTTATCTAGCATATATATAAATATATAAATGGTTTGTATTTTAATTTATACAGTCATATGCTTGCCTTGTGCCATGCTATGTCATTTGGTAAGACTTTTACAATAGCGACTGCCCTCTTGGGTATTTGGACAGTATCTAATTATTGTTGATAGCATAGCTAGTCTCTCCACTCCCCATATCCCACACAGATACATATATACACCCACTTCTCTTTTTCTGAGGAAGCAGAAAACATTTGTTAGGGAATATTTAGGCAAATGACACAGAACTAGTAACACAGGATCTCTCAAGAGGCTGTAACCTATGTTGGGGAGTGCCAGACAGGTGCTTGGTACCTGGGCAGCATGGAAAAAAATCTGAACTGAAATGTTGAGGTTTTCTCCTGTGTGTAATATCACACATCTATACAGTGGCTCTGGCAGTATCTTCAAGCTCTGTCTACGGTAGGGTTTCACAGCTGTCAGTTGCACTACATGAATAAATGGTCTGAGCAGGGCATTTATGTTACTCCATTGCTCTGCCCCACTAGCAGCATTGCTCAGATGTGCTCCTAGGTCTGCAAACTGCTGCCTCTCTCTTATAATACCCAATATCACAGGCACAAGTCTGGTAGCGTGAAGCAAATTTAGCATCTCCCCCTTTCTGTATGTCATTATGGATGGCTACAGATGGTTTCATTCTGTACAACGGTCTGTTGCAGAAGGTAAGAGCTATGAAATTATATGCTTACATATGTGAAGAGTATGTAAATGTCAAATGTAAGCTAGATGGGTTGGACCAGATAACCCAGAGTTTACCTCAAGTTTGATAAAACAACTCATGAAGAAAATGCTTCACACAAAAGAGGGAGAGCTCTAGCTGCAAGGAAAGATAAAGATATTCATGACAAATTGCTGATATGAAAAATTTAGACTTTAGTGTTGGCAATAATAATACTAATTAATGACATTAATATTGTAAAAAGAAATGGTTTTAAAAGCTTGTAATATGTACAGATTTACCTGTCAAATCTAGCTTGAAAGGCCATAAGGCAACATGAATGAGAGCTATTTTTAGAAAAGAATTTATTTCAGAGAACTCATTGTGTTTTCTCTTCTGTAGTATTGGCATTTCTGAAAATAATCTGAAGGTCACATCTGGAAGATGGGAATATATTTTCCCATAGAAGATATTGAAGGCTTTCTGATTATGCCAGAGCACACAGTTAAGTATATGGAACCATTAAAGTTTGACAAGGCACCTGATCTAGATGAATAACATTCCCAAATTCCAGAGGAATCATAAAGGTAAAGTAAGAAAAGCATTTAGAATACCTTTTTTTTCCACACCTTTCCCAGCTAGGAAAACATCAAAAGACAAAAAGAGGGTAGTGGTGTTTCTGTATTTTGAGGAGACTGCTGAATAGAGAAGTCAATGGAATGTGTAACATGGAAAGAACAACTGCTGCTGTTTAAAGATCAGGCTAACAAACTTGATGAATGAGTACAATTTCTGTGAACAGCCCTGATAGCTAGTGAAAAGTAAACTAAACGACATATTTTGCCTGGACACAAGAGCTTCTTGAAACTATGTCATATGTAGACATGCACAAAATAGATTACTCTAAAAAGCTAGGCTGAGATAGGTAAACATGCAGGGCTGCTGAAATGAGTTTTAGATTAATTTAGGAGAAAGAAATAAAGCATGTAACCTAAATGGAAATGCTTTATAAGATGAGATAAAGCCAATGAGGCAGAACTAGTGGTCAAAGCTGAACACCATTCTGGGATACAACAGGAAGGTTACTGGAAAGAGCTCATTTTGCAAAAACAAAGAATGGAATGAATGCAAAATCTGCTTGTGTAAAGAGAAAGTAATGGCTTTAGTACTGCGCTCTAAGGAAAGAATGACTGCTTCATTTTATTTAAAGTAGTAGATGAATGCAATTGACCCCACCCCCAGCAACAGAACACTGAATGTCAATCAATAATAAGAGCTGGACATGCAGGTAATAAACCATCTGCTCAATGCTTGCTCAGTTTGATAAAATACAATACTTAATTTCTACACATAAACATATTGTATATCTACCTGTAATATTTGTATGTATTTATTCTCATAAAATGGATTGACGGCAAAAGATGGATTATACTGTGCTGAGCTCTAAAGGTTTTAATGAGAAGTGCAGAGTAGCCAGCTATCTGTTTTATTTTGCTGAGGCTCATTCATAGGAACATATTGTTTGGGTTAGAAGGAACCTTTAAAGTCCATCTAGTCCAATTGCTGGGGAATGAGCAGGGACATCTTCAATTCATCCTCCTAGCATCTCGGTTATGTTCCCATTCTTTGAACAAATAATCTTAAGGTAGAAACTGACAGTTCTTTAATGTAGCTGTAGTTTAATTTTGAGGTTAATCTTTGTCAAGCTTGTACTGCTCTTAGTTTTATGGATTGTAGGTTTAGATTGTGGGCAGAATCAGAAAAGTATGTTGCACAAATGGTGAATCAAGCAGTGTGTAATGCACGTCAGTCCAAGTGAAGTAACAGTAAAACCTTTAGATCATGTCATATTTTCATTTTCATGCCATTTATGTTACAGATAAATGAACTTTAGAATATACAAGAGAATTTTATTATGTATTTTAGAATGTGTGTCTTTTTGCTTGTAAAGCATCTCATTCTTCTCTACTGCAAGATCAGTTGTGCTGAGTTTTCTCCATGAAGAGGAAAGAAGACATAAAGCTCTCTAAAATAAGTAGAACACTAGCTTCTCTCATACAAATGCCAGAGTTTTAAGTGCCAGATCTGCAAGGTCAGAAAAAGATGTGAAGTCCTGCATGGGAGCTGGGAATCAGCTCTTGCAAATAGTGTCATGTGAAGTCATACTTGCTCTCCCTAAAGGACTATGCATTATTGAACTTCACAGCTGCGGTGGTTTCAGGCATAGGAGGGATGCTGCAGATGGAGAAGCGAAAGCTTCTTACAGCCTTTGTGCAGAAGTAATTTCAAGGAAAGAAATGCATACTTTGGTGATCGCCATTTTTATAAGTTTTTAAGGTTGTTTAAAGCTGTTTCTGGCTTGGACTGTTAAGCAAATACCAGATAATGAGAAGTGGGGAGAAGAAAATAATACCTATTTTGGGCTGTAAATGTGGTTGGCAATACCCACATGCTGAGCTGATATATCCACAGGTTTAAATTCTCTTCAGTGAATTTATTCCATAAGTAGTATAAGTTTCAACTATACTTTATTAAAATTGCTGTCCAGATTTAAAAAAAAATTAAAAAATCCCTTCTTTCTGGAAAATTTATCCCTCAGTTTTAACTGCTCAGGCAGTGTGCTTGCGCACTGTACTGTCTTTACATTTCAACACATTTATTTATACATCACAATTTCTAAAAGCACCCACAACAAACAAAATCAAGTTCCCCAGGCAAATGCATAAGATGGGCTAGAATCTCCATTTGTCTGTGCTGTGCATGCTTATTTAGATTATGGTAAAGTGGATATAAAACACTACAGGAATACAATGCAAATGATGTATGCCTCTTTGCAATGAGATAAACGATTATATGTGGTATTACAGCCGTAATTTAATGCTTGTTAGTCATCCAATTTTGATTAAGGGATCATTTATTTTAAGAATAAGTCTGTACCACTGTTCAGCCATTGGCAATTTGGGTTCAAAGGCACTTAGGCCCTTAAGGTGAACACTGGGAATTTCCACATTGCTCAAAAAATGCTAACACTGACACAGGATGTTTTCCCTCCAAACACCAAAACTCTTTCAGATTAATTCTACAATTATACATACTGGGGGGGTGTGCATATTGGGGGTTTTGATAACTCTTAAAGTTTTTCTACATTTACATATAAGACAGATACTCTTGAACCAAGTTGAAATCAGATGAGAGGAGGGAGAGCTTTTAGCTAAGATCATATGGGAAAGAGATTTAAATTTTTATTGCTACCCCATAAATCTCTCTTGTGCGAGTGTTATGAGTAAACCCAGGACATTTCATCTTTTGCTTTGAGATAATTGAGTTAAGGTAACACAGAGGAGTAATTATCCCTTCTGACAGGTAGGATGTGTGACTCAATGTCAGAAGGAAGCAGTTCTTAGATGTTACCATGAGTAGATGAATGTGAACATAAGTGCCATATTCATTGCTATTTGGATTCAGGAAAAACCTGCCTGACGCAAGATGTAGGGGGGGGTGGTCTTCTTTTGAAGCCTATATTTGAATATGTGTTAATTTCTAATGGACTAGCTGATTCTCAGTACTTCCAGGCCAGAAGCTTGTATATGCACCCGAAAAAAAAAAAATAAAAAATAAAAAGAAGTCTTCTTTAGGTACATCTGAAATTTACAGCTTTCATTTAAACACAGGGAATAGACGGTCTCAAAATACAAATAATCAGCTAAACTTTGTCTATGTTGCATTTTAAGAAATCTTTTGCTCCTCTCATATATAAACTGGCAAAATGGGGTGCAAAATTCTTCTCCTGGCTCACAAAGGAAATAATCTGCCCTAATTATAATTCAGATATTTCAAATCATATGTCGTTTAAAGTATAATGCAACTCTTTGTGACACAACTGCATCAGTTTTAAATTCCCAGTTCGTGTATCAGTCACAGTTAAACTGTTGCAGAGTGTCTGCCCATGGCCAGGGGATGTGTGGCAAGCCCTGTGCTCCTGTGGCTGCCCTGCAGTCGGGAGTTCAGTTGGAGGGTGAGCTCAAAGCTGGCTTGGGCAGCTTCTGAAAGCGTGACTCAAGCATTTGACAGCAGGATACACTGCCTGAAAGATGCTGGTTCTTCCCGAAGGGAACTGGGGTCCCCTGCTTCCTACTTAGTGACTTAGTGTACCTAGGTTATTAGGAGATGCATAATGCCAGAGTTTTCAGTCCTGGCAGAGTGACTTAATGTACATTTAAACCTGTATTAGCCAGGACATATTTGATGTCATGGTTTTCTTTTCCTCTAGCTGCCACTGTTTCAGTGAGTTTGCAGCACATATTTTCCTGAAAGACAGATATGCTTTTTCATGAAACACCCCATTAAGTAAAGCCCTTTAGCAAGGACAAAGAGCCTCTGAAGATGCTCTCCTGGCATAGGATGTTTACAGGCTGAAACAAAAAAACAGCTGTTTCATTAAAAAAAGAAAAAAAATCCAAAGGTTCACAGTTAATCTGCTGATTGCCCTGAAATATTCTGTTTGTTTCATTTGATATTTCCCAAGAAAGCTACTGCTGCTGCTGCTTTAAACTTTATAATGGCTTTGTCAATACCTTTCAAGCATTTGTTTTTGTGTCAAGTTTGCATACTTCAAATATATGTAAATGACATGGTTATTGGAAAAGAGAAGGGATCCAGACTGCTGTAGATCTGCAAGGCTCTGAAAGCTGCAAAATTATTTAGCTGCAGGTGTGGAATAGTTGTACTGTGCTGGATTGTGTGTCTCCAGCTGTGGAAATTGGGGGAAATATGCACACAGCTAGAGTGTGTACACAATAGTGTAGGATGTCAGGAAAATCTTCTCTAGAGAATGGCAATTTGGGGTCAAAACTATGACCTTGGTGCAGTGGAGCGGTTTCATGAGCCTTGGCTCTGTGCTTGCGCATGTGGATTAGTAAAGGGTAGCAGGAGCATTCAAAAATGTGACTGGCAGGTTCAATATATTGCATGGCTGCAGAGTTATTCAAAACAAATTGTATATGTGGAGCTGGTGGACATGGGGTAGGTATCTTCCTGATGGACATGTTCCATGTTCTCAGTTTCAGATTAGCCTTAAACAGCTTTTTTCTCATTTTTCTCTGCCTGCCAAAGTGTTCCTGTCTGCTGTTCACAACTTCAGTAGAATTTATTTCTTTCCACCTACCACCCAGGAAATTTGCCTCAGAAAGATGAGATGCAAATATTATGCAGGGTTGACCTTTCCATTTACAAGGTAACTAATTAGCTCAACAAGTAACGTGTTTAGTAAAATACGTATATGTCATTAGATAATCCTGCCTACCTCTTTATGGTTGCTTCCTAAAATACATCTTACTTTTGTCGCAATTAACTGGAGGCATGCTATTGACTGCAGGACTACAGACTTATAGCAAATGCAAAGTAATTTAATACTCACTTTCTGATCCGGCAGCCTCGTAGTTACTTCTCCAGTCATGCTTCAGCACCATAGTGTAGTGCTGACAGAGTACCTTTTCCAGTTCTGCTTCCTTTCTGCTACTGGATGGAAAGGAATGTGTGGTGTTAATGTGGAAGATGGTAAACTATAAACGTTTTTTAAGTAAACTTCAGGGAAAGGCAGACATTTATGAGGTGGTGAAAACTCAAGTGGCAGTCTGGACATGATTTTATGGTGAATCTGTGCAACTGGCTCAACAGCTTCCTTTAGCTAAGCTATGCAATGGTATGCATGGACTGCTATGCTGAGGTCTGCACTGTAGTTGTAATTTATATTGTTATTTCATCAATCAGTGGCAAAGCAAAGAAAGGGATGGTCATGTTCATGACTTACTGTGGGTGGCTTCCTGGTATTCAAATGGTCTGAGGAGAGGTAGCTGTGTCCTTCATTGAAAGAAGGGAGCAGAAAAGGTGGTTATGTATACACAAAGGGTCAAAAGAAATGGCCAGGAATTTGACCCAGGTCTTGTAAGCCAACAGAAAGAAGCTGGCCATGTCAAAATCACGAAGCCCATCCCAGTTCACTTTTGGGACTCATTTATGGCCATGAACAGATGTTCTTAACCACAGTGGACCTTGAATCCTGCGTGGGTTTCAGTCTGATGCAGGATGATTAGCATTCCCTAGCCCTTGATTGCAGCGTCTGGTTTTTGGTGCCACCTCACAGTATGGTGTGGCAACAGAGATGAATGGTACCCTGCTGCAAATGGTAAGCAGTGATACTTTGCAAGTCTAATGAACTCATCCTGTGCTCTTCAGTGTCCTTTAAACCGTGACAATTAGCAAGAGTAAAGAAGGGAAAAAAGTCTTACTAGTTGTGAGGTAAATAGGGGAGCGGAGCCTGTGATTGGATAAAGCAAAGAGTGTTGTTAATTTCTTACTGATATTTGGACCGTCCTGTTCCCTTTTCAAATTTGTTTTGGAAGATACTGGCATGTTTATTATAAAAGACAGCGGTTAACTGCTTCACTGTTTTATGTGCATTTTTTCTGATCCAGAACTGATCATGATTCTGCCATTAAATCATCTGCTTTGTACTTGTCAATTTATTGCTTCTTTGCCTTTAATGAAGCAGAGGCAGTACTTTACAGATGGGGAACTAAATCATGGAGAAACTATGCTACTTTTTACATGACCTCTGCACACAAAATTAATAATGTCTCTTATTGACAGGTTCATGCGCTAGATGCAAGTGTTGTAAGTAGCTTAGCTACACTGGCAGTGCTGATTTGTGAAAAGTTCAGTTTTTATGAGAGAATGTATGAGCTATTAGTACAAATTTTCTTCTTTACATTTTTACTCACAGTACACCTATCCAGTGAAAGCTTTATGTACCTCTGGACCCTCTCCTAGATAACGTCTGGTTGGATTTCTCTCCCCTGTCACCAAAGTGCCATTGCTAAAGCTGCACCGACCTTGGCTTTTGCCATGGCCCCTCAGCAGAGCTGCTTCTTCAAGGGGTTCCCTTTATCATGCTTGCTTGCCTTCCTCTTCATTCATGCTAGCTTTCTTTCATCCCTAACAGCCTTTTCTTGTAATCTTCCTTTCTTCTTGTTTCTAAGCAGTGTCTCCTGCTTGAAGTTCAGTGAAGTCTTCCCTCTCTTTTGAAACATTTCACTTCCCTCTGCCATTCATTTTGCTCTTTCCCTGTCCTAAAAGCAGGTGCCAGCTAGTGCTGACATTCTCCCCCACCAGAAATGCCGTAGATTGCTTTGCTGACTTCTATGACAGGGCTTACATGCATACAGAAGTAGTCCTTGGGTAGATCATAACGTTACTTAGCAATGTAAGGCTAAGGGGTCAGGCTTTAAAAGGAGTTTATGGGAGGTCACCTGCATAAGTAGGACAATCTTAAATCACGTGACCTCTATGGATGTTATTGCTGGATTTTTAAGTGGGATGCTGATGTCTGAAAGCCTTGTTAGCAAATATCTTTGAGAACTTAGGAGGATGGTGAAAGAAGGCCAAATACATTTAAGATGCAGCAAAAAAGAGCAAGAAGAATACAGCTCTGTCAGCTTCTTCAACACCCAGATGAATGAGAATTAATACAAGAGGCAAAATCATAGTATATATACCATCCAGCAGCAAACTCCAGACTCAAGAGCTACTTGTGTAGTAGTTGGGTTCCCTCAATGGCTTTGGAGAAGATGACTCCAGGTGAAGTTCTGAATAAAGTACTGCAGAAGCCTATCTCTAGTCTTTAACTGTACAGGGAGAAAGGGAGACAGGGAAAGTAAACCATCAACCTTAGTCTATGTTAATACCCTGCAGTGAGAGTAAGTTAGTCTGAAAGAAGTTACTATATACTATCTGCTTTTCTGTATATGATTTTAGTAGTAATTGTAGTGATTTGCTTTACTTTTGTCACAATTCCTCAGTAATCAGAATTACTCAGGCAGTATCTTGAGAGGGAAGAGATTGGAAGAGCAACCCAACTTAAATCTCTTTGTAATTAATTATCTTGGAGCAAGTACATGATTAATTAATGATTATTTTTAAATGTATGCATATATTCATTTATTATTATATTAAGTTATAATAAATATTACACTATATAATTCTACATTTAAATTTAGACATGCATTTATTATGACAGCCATGTTGTCTGGATGTAAATTAACCTGGTATATCTGTGGTGCCAGGCAATAGCATGAGAGGCAATGGGTGTAAACTGAACCACAGCTTTTTTCTGAACATGAAGAAGAACTTCTTAAGTGTGAGGGTGACTGAGCATTAGAATAGGTTTTCCATGGGGGTTGTAGAGTCTCCTTCCCTGGAGCTATTAAAGAACCATCTGAAGACAGCCCTGACCAATGTGCTCTAGGTCACCCTGCTTGAACAGGGAGGCTGGACTAGATGACCTCTGGTGGTCCTTTCCAGCCTCGACCATTCTGTGACTGTGATTAATGTAAAAAACCCAATAAGCAGATAATATTACAAAATGAAGAGCAGTAAATGTCAAGGGTAACAGATAGAGGAAGGCAATGACTGCACTCAAGAAGTCATCAAGAAGTGGAAACAAGGAAGGAAGATTCACACAAATATGTCATAAGTTGAACAAAAAAGATGCTTTTAGTCAGAGGCTATTGCAGCAGTACATTATGGGAAGGAAAAGTCAGAGTGTGCACCAAGACTTCAGGTGTGACCATTATGAAACAGACAAAACAGGAAGAAAAGACAGTCAAGGTACTGAATGTCTTGCTGACTGGTCTTTATTCAGAAAGAAGTTTGGGGGACTAAAAGTCTGCAGAGTTCCTGGTTATGCTCAGTTTGTATCAACAGCAAAACAAGGAAAAAAAATATCACTTTCAGCAAGGTATTAAAGAAAGCAATGACTTGAAAAATAAAGACTATCCACTTAGCCTGTATTCATACATGCAGAATTAGTCCAAACACTAAGAACAAGTAAAACAAATGATGAAGCTGATAAATCTCAAAACTAGATTATTTATTATGCACTGTACTACTGTGCACCTACCCACCCAATATTAAAAATTGTAATCCAGTGAAACAAAGGAAACGACCATATCACAGATGTCATAAAACACTGCTTAGAGCAGTCAGAGCTGTCAGACAATATGCTATTTAGTATCATGATAAAGGAGATCACAGATGTGGAAGCCAAGGAGAATGGACTTGGGGTTTCTGAAGCAGCTGAGGGGACAAAGGGGTTAGCTCAAAGGATTTGCTATGAGTAAGTTTTTCTTTACCAGCTGTGGGACAAACCCTGACAACCTTGCTGCTTTGGAAGACAGATATAAAGCATGTTTGATGCCTAGAGGTCAGTAGGCTAAGGAATGTTAAGCTGTGAGAGAGTTTTCCCACACCAGGTTCCAGCACAAGGCAACATAACAAGAAGCACTCAGCCCCTGAGACATGGAGTGCTCAGGCAAAGAAACACTCACTTCAGATTTTAATTTTTATTTGATTTATATCAGAAAGAATATTTAATAGCTCTCATATTCACCTATGTGCTCTGTAATGTTCACACACAGAGACTATGCAGATTATGAGACAGACTAATGTCTCTCTTCACTGAAATTACTATAATAGCAAAGCCATTTTGCAAATGACAGTGTAAGTATCAGCTCAGATAATTCTGGAAAATTAATGCCCCAAATGAAATGCAAGCTCAGAGCTCAGGGAATACATCTTATACTTTAGCCTTTCTATTTTTACTTTGTATATATTGTTTACTATGCTGTTACTATACACGCATATATCATCAGATATGCATGTATCATTTTACAGTCTGAGAAGTATAATTTCTCTGGGGTTTCCCATCCGTTTTTCAGCATGAGGATAATGCAATCATTTGACAGCCTTTAAAAGTGAAAAGCCTTTGGATCTCAAGCTCTGGATCTTAGAATCAGCTAAGCATGAATGCTGAGAAATACTGAAAGGAGAAAGGTGAACAGCTTGCAGGGTGAGGTGATCAGCGACATGCAGCAAGGACAGATTCAGTCTATCCTAACCTGGAGAAGGGGATGGGGAAGCCACAAGCACCTCCAGGCAGCAATACATTAATCTGCTTTTTCATTGCCCTGCAGAGGTGGCTCTCTCTGCATTGAGATGGAGGCCAAATCATTAGCATGGACTAAAGCACCTCATTTTTTGAAGGCTCAGAGTACTTTAGAGAGTTCCTGCCCAAAAGACTATCTGACTCTGCGGGAGAGGGACAAAAAAGAAAAGCTTCAAGAGACATTACCAGAAGAATAATAAGGGTGGAAGGACAAGATGAGTAGAACAGTATCACAAGTTTGCTGGTTGTTTGCTTTTAAATTTGTTGACATATTTCTATTTTTTAAGACATAGAACTTCCTCATCCTAATTAGTAAACTGATATTATTTATTACTAATAACAAACATTTTTTAAACTAAGAAATTTTATATGCCTGTCATTGTATCATACTGTACAATCATGGAACAGAAAGGGCAAACTCTTTCCTTAGATCCTTAGAGGTTCCTCATTTCACAGGGAGCTAGGCACAGGTTTTATTCATAACAGAAAAGCATCCATAGTACATTAAACAAGCTATAAGAATCCTCTGAAGGGGCTGGATCTAAAGCAAAATCAAGTAGGGGAAGAGTTAGGAAGCCTCTATACCTCAAAGACATTCTGAACTGCAGTATATTTTGATCTGTTGCACAGATTGCAGATAAATTGTGTGGATTGTGTGCAAAAGACATTGCACACAATGCAGATAAAGAACATTCACTCTTTATTCATATACCACTTAGTATACCACCCAGCTCTTCCAGGCAATGACATCAACTTTAATATATTAACAGCTTTCTGAGCAATGTAATCTTTCCTCTACTTCAAGGCTGTGGTAGCTGCTTTTGATACTTTATGTTTGAGTCATCGTAGGGTTTTAATTGTCACACTAATTGTGGCAATTCATGTCTCATGTTGTCGTCTTACTGGATTCTGCCTCCAAGTAAATCTCATATATGGACGAAATGAGCCCTCTTATTGCACTTACCTCATTGCAGGATGTAAAAAAATGTACTTTGCAGAAATGCAAGTTGCTAATATGCAAAGACACAATCACAGACCACTCGGTGGATACAGAATTGGCTGGATGGTTGCACTAAGAGTTGTGGTCAGCAGCTCGATATCCAAGTGGACAACAGTGATGAGTGGTATTCATCAGGGGTCAGTATTGGGAGCAGTGTTATTTAATATCTTTGTTGGTTACACGGACAGTGGGATTGAGTGCACTCTCAGCAAGTTTGCCAAGCTGCGTGGTGCTGTCAACACACCAAAGGGAAACGATGCCATTCAGAGGAACCTTGACATGACTGAGAGGTGGGCCACTGAGGACCTCATGAAGTTCAACAAGGCCAAGTGTAAGGTCCTGCACATGGTTTGGGGCAATCCCAAGCACAGATACAGGCTGGGAATAGACTGCATTGAAAGCAGCCCTGAGGAAAGGGACTTGGGGGTGTTGGTTGACAAAATGCTCAACCATGACCCGACGATGTGCCCTCGAGGCCCAGAAAGCCAGCTGTGTCCTGGGCATCATCAAAAGGAGGGTGACCAGAAGGTTGATGGAGGTGATCCTCCTCCTCTCCTCCACTCTTGTGAAACCCCAAACAGGAGCACTTTGTTCAGCTCTGGTGCCACCAACACAAGAGGGATGTGGACCTATTGCAGTGAGTGCAGAAGAAGGCCACAAATACGATCAGAAGGCTGGAGCACCTCTCCTATGGAGACAGGCTGAGAGAGCTGGCCTTGTTAAGCCTGGAGAAGGCTTGGGATAGACCTTGAAGCAGCTTCCAGTGCCTAAAGGGGACACATAGGCAAGCTGGATCAGGACTTTTTACAAGGGCATGTAGGGATAGGACAAGGGGGAATGGCTTGAAACAAAAAGAGGGTAGGGTTAGATTATATATTAGGAAGAAGTTATTTACTGTGAGGGTGATGAGGCACTGGCATTGGGTGCTCAGTGAATCTGTGGCTGCCCCATCCCTGACAGTGTTCAAGGCCAGGTTAACTGGGACTTTGGGCAACCTGATCTAGGCCTGAAGTTGTCCCTGTCCTTGTCAGGGCAGCTGGAACTAGATGATCTTTAAGGTCCCTTCCAACCCAAACCTATGATTCCATGATTTGAAGATCTGAAGACCCCTATTCAGGGCTTAAAGTTAGAGCTAGGAAACAGATTTTGTTATAGCATCTGCAACTCTGCCACATTAACATCACTACACATGGTGGTGCTAATGAGGGAGAGCAACGTCCTGCTAACCTCTTGTCTCTCATGTGATGACTCCCCAGTATCCCTTCCATCTGACTTTCATGTTGCTTTTGAGGAATGGTCAGTCAGATTATAGCTCTTTCCTCTTCCTCACTGTTTCACCTGACCCTTCCTCTACATAATTTCTTCTTTTGTTTTTCTATCTCATGTGCCTCCTCCATTCCTTTTACTTGTAGTATTTTTCAGAGCCATGCCTCGTTTTTTCAACACAGTTTGCATCCATTTAAAATGTGTATATGTGCTATTAACTTTCTCTTCAGCATTTGCAGCTGGTGTTTCTTCTGCCCCTAAGGCCTTGTCAGGGATCATCACTTCAAATGCCAAACAAGGAATGTCTTCACAATCACAATGGACATGACAACCACTCTGACTATCTCATTTGCAAAAACAATGCAGCACCACATCAGTCAGTCCACTTATCTTTCTGTTGCCTGATTGTTGTAGGTTATGACAAAGCATCTCCAGACATAAGTGATGGGGATAAAGCAAAAGCAAATCAAATGCACTATAATTCAATACTGTTGGAAGAGGTGAGACTGGGTTCTCTGACTGCTAGCGGCTTATGAAAGAGTAATTCTTAAATATTATTGTATTTGAAAGACACCAGTTAATACCATATAATATACACCATTAGCTGTTGATGCACTTGCTTTGTTTAGGGAAATCTGAAGAATAAAACAGATTGCTGTTTCCATCAAAACACTTCAAGCTGGATTTAATAGTGCTGAAATGCTAATTGTGAATTGTACTTCACATCATACACTGCAGACTAATTTAAAAAGAGGAAAACATATTATGTTAACTACCACAATGCATGCACTATGAGTCATCTAAGCATATGATGAACTGGAACAATACCAGCAGCACAACATAAAGCAGCTGAATTTAAGCTAGAGGGAGTACAATACCTTTTGATCAGGCCTAGTGTATGACTGAGAATATATACAGCTGCAAATACACTGTTAGGTTTCTGGCAAAGAAAACAATAAAAACACTTTTTCTGTCTCTCTTCTTTCCCCCAGTCCAACCCCTTCAAATATATTTGCATTAAGTCACTAAGAAATGAAATAAATACAGTCTTGCTTGTATGAAGAACAGGCAGCTTCAACATCAGTTCCCCATGCTCCACTGTAAAGCTGATCATGCCTATATTACACAGATGCTTGCTTTTAGCATCGTAATGAGAACTTTCAAGAATTCAGTTACTATTAAATTAGCTTTACTGAATGTTATCAGAATGCTTCTGAGAGTTTCCCATTATCCTATCAGCACAGGAAAAAAGGAATACCACACTGTCAATCCAATTATTTTTCTGTGTATATTTTGCAAGGAGGAGAAGGGTCAAGCACATGATTTGTCTTCCTCAGGGGAAGAAGAAGGGAGCTCTCATCTTTGTGAATTCAGTGCCAGTTCTCCAGAACTTGAAGAAAGACACTTTTGTCAAAGCCTCTCAGCCCTTTCAGTAACCACCAGCCTTTAATGGTCACTGTAGCATTTCCAGAGGCACTGGCTCCCTCTGAAAAGAGCTATCAAGTCGTGACACAGCCATATAGAATACTCCTCAGAATCCAGAACACAAAGCTGGAATTCAAACATGTTAGTCTATCTTCTGCTCATATAGCAAGTTTTCTCTGAGGTGTCATTGGAAGAAGCTCTGGAAAAACCCATCTGGCTTCCTCCCTCAGTTGGGGTCTGAAGCCCTCTCAGAAATGAGATACATGGGTGTGAATGTGTGGTTGCTCACAGGGAGCCCTCCATTTTCAGGAGAAAGCCAGAACACTGTATTTCTAGTCCATCCAATAATTTTCCATGTTTTCCTCAGTACCTGGAGCAATATCTAAAACATTATTACAGAGGATAGTGTACTTCAGTTATAGTTCCATAGTTACATTATGTGAACGATAGATATTTTTTAAATAGGTATTACAATGGATATGTCTCCTTTCTTTCAGTATTTCTCCTTCATACCCCTGGATACTCACATTTTCCTCTAAAATATGCACTAGAAAAGTTTTTGATACTTTACTCTCTTGATTTCCATTCTGGTAGTTGTGCTTCCTCAACTCTTTTCTGAGGCTCAAGCATTAACAGGCCTCCTTTGGTTCAAAATCTGATTCAGTTTCCGAGGTGTATAACAACACTGTTAAGAACTGAGCCAGCAACCAGAGTAGGGATTTTTATATATATAAATCCTCATACAGTCCCACTGTGCCCATCATTCACCAGTAGCTCAGTCAACTGCCTGGCTATTAGAAAGAGATGATACCAGCAGAGATCAAAGCACAAGGGACTCTGAGCATATTAACTGAATTAAATTGTAAATGTATTAAACTTCCATGATTTATCTTGTTTAACAACTAAACTTCTACTGGGTAAGTATAACAATACCCACATACAAATATATGCCTACAGAAAGAAGGAATCAATACTCTCCACACATTACAAATTTAAAAGAACCAAACACAATTAGAACCTGCTTAGCTTAACAGTAGCACAGAACATAATTATTTCTCTTGGTGCTTAGATTACCTTCTCTGTTAAATCCTTTTCTTCTGAAACGAATTAGTGGTTTAAAGAGTATAAAGAACAGTAAATAAATATGTGGCAATAGTAACTTAGTTACTTGTATTATTGGAAAAAGTGGTTTTATTTAATGCTTCGGCATAAACAGTGCCAGAAGATTGCTTTTTCTTATTTTTTGAACCAAGCCAGGAAACAGTTACCAACAAACATGCCAAATCTCTAGGTACATGTAATATCCAGCTGTTAGCTGGGTGGCTGGATGACTAGAGTCATGTGGTGACTTTGCAGTGTAAGGTGGTGCACCACTGCGCCACAGAGCAATAGGGGACCTCAGTGACACTGTTAGGGGACAAACCCGATCACCGTGCTTGTGAAACAGCAGCACTGCACGTTTCATGCAGGAGGTAGCTGCCAAAAGGTGCTACCTTCTTTCAGCACCAGTCACATTTGTGCCAGGCAGGTATTACTCCTGGCACAGAGCAAGGGGGAAGGCAGAAGATCACATCTCCCATCATCTTGAT